ACCACTCCCTGGGATTAAAGGCTGGCTTTCTGGGATTAAAGGCGTGTGCCACCACCGCCACACTCTTGCTATGGCTCTAATAGCTCTGACCCCCGGGCAACTTTATTTATTAACATACAAACAAAATCACATTTCAGTATAATTAGATTACCACCACAAAGAGCAATGGACATGCTAAAATAGATGGGGGCAAAGCCACGAGGCCACAACCCTATACAAAGGACTACAGGCACCGAGGAAATCTGGGAGCAGGAGAGGCGGTCTTCCCCAGGCAAGAAAGGCAATGGCACACCAATTGGTTGTCCAGTGCCAAGTGGTCTGCCCTAAATAAAACAGTTAATATTATACATAGGAATATACATATGCAGGCAATAATCACTAACAGCAGTCAGGAGTTTGAAGGAGACTGGGGAGAAGTGTACTAGAGGGTTTGGAAGGAGGAAAGAGAAGGTAGAACTGTAACTATATCATAATCTCAAAAATTAGAAAAAAATATCTTTTTATACAAATGTTTGAAAAAACAATGCCAACAGCAAAACCTTGAAGGTCTGTCTTGCGGGCAGCGACTCGTCACTGGCGCGTCTGCTCCTTCTTGGTCTTTTCTTCCTTTTGTCACACCGCTACCCAGTTCATCTTCCTCAAGCACCCTATACTCGAGTCTCACTTTTGCTTGTGGATTCTAGGTTCTAGAATCTTCAGTGACTCACCCCATTCAAGAAAAGTAATAAACAAAGGGCTAGCTTCCTGCTCTGAAGAACTTCCAGAGTATATTAACGTTTTCCTATTTCCACCCCCCACCCCCCACCCCGCCCCATGCCAGCCTGCTCTTTCAGCATAGTAATGTATTTGCTCTCAGAAGATCACTGTGCCCATTTATTTATTCGTGCCGAGCACCAGTGTCTCCAAGAAGAAACCAGATCGAGACGGAAGCTGTAGGGCGGGCCTCGGTTGTGTTCTTTATCACTCTCAGTATACTGATGGTGCGTCGATAAACGTTTCTTAAGAGTCAACTGCCAAAAAAAAAAAAAAAAAAAAAAAGAGTCAACTGCCGTCGGCTGAGATGATAAAAGGGGGTTTCTGTTCTTGTTCGATATGACCCTCATGTGCTATATTTATTAAACTTAGCACCGATTAATATCTCACTGTATCCCCTCATCAATGACAATAGTGATAACAGGAGCAGCATTGGAAAAGGATGTGCGCCCATCTAGATTCTCACTGAAGGGCGGATTGATTCTCCTCTTACAGTTATCTTTTTGGCTCCGCGGCAGTATGATCTGGTATAAGTGAGAAATCCAGGACTCGTGATTAAAGGGGCTTTAGTGATTTTTTAAGAAGCTCTCCAGGAGACACGAACATCCTTAAAAGAGCTGAAGATCTGATATTTCCTGCATGTGACACATTCACAGAGCAAATCCCAGAACCCTGGGGTTAAAAGGGACCTTAAAGGCCCCCTTTCATAATCACTACAGATAAGAGGAAGTCGTTTTTGTGCATGGTGTTTAATTAACTCGGTTTTTCTAAGGCATGAAAAGCCCTTGTCACAGTAACATATCTGCCACACAGCATCCCTCACTTCCAAAATTGTTCCCTGGTGGGGATTTCTGTTACAATGTTGTAACTAATGGAATCGAGCAGAGAGCATCTCAGACCTGAGAAGCAGCGAGTATGCCAAAACTAATTCCATCAGACACTGAATGTTTTTTCTTTTCTGTATGTGTTTGTTTGACATGAAATTATTTTCAGCAGTAATATAGCAGGGAAAATTCATTCACTCAGCAATCAATAATTGTTTTAAGTTCTCCAAATTCTGAACACAAAACTATAAAAAGGTGAGCTCTGCAAGGATTGTGTTTAAGCTGGCCTGGAGCCATTCTTACCTCTGTAAACCTGGGAAAGCTAACCACTAGGGTTCCATAGTAACCACTGTGAGGATGATGTAATACACTTTAAGTTCCTAGTACAGGGTCCAGGAGTGGTGACATACCAGTGTAATGTTAAACCTCAGAGGCAGAAGCAGGGGGATCCTAAGTGTGGGCCAACCTGGACTACATAATAAAGATCCTCAAGATAAAAAAAAAACTAATATAGAAACACATGACTGACATACCAGGTATCAGTATCATTAACTACTATAGTTTGAGACAATTAAGCATCATTCAGATGTAGAATCTAGATTTTTAAATATTTATTTTTAAATATATATACATATATTAGTATGAAGAATGAAAGTAGACTATGTTGGAGGGGTCTAAAGAGAAGGTATGGGGGAAACAGAGAGGAAATAAACCAAACATGTTTCATTCATGAGCAGAATCTAGTTGTGTGTGTGTGTGTGTGTGTATGTGTGTGTGTGTGTGTGTGTGTGAGAGAGAGAGAGAGAGAGAGAGAGAGAGAGAGAGAGAGAGAGAGAGATATGAAAATAGAAAGGTGACTTTGGGGTAGAGGAAATTGAAGAGTGGGAAGAAGGAAAGAAAAGGGAGGGAAAGGTACCAGGTATGGATACGAGGGCAGTACATATACAAATGTGTTTATGTGTGTGAAAATATCAAAATGAAAGCCATAATTATTATAACTAAAAATTTTTTAAATGGCTGAAGGGGTTGGAGAACTAGTTGAGCAGTTAAGAGCATTTGTTGCTCTTGCAGATGACCTGAGTTTGTTTCCCAGTGTTCACATAGCAGCTCACAGTTGGCTATTCCAGTTCTGTAGGATCCTACACCCCTTCCAGCTTCAAGGGGTACTGCTCACCTGGCATGTACAGCATATATGCAGGCAAAGTATTTACACCTAAAATAAAATAAATAATATAAAAAGATGAAGAAGATGATGAAGAAAAGAAGGAGAAGATGAAGAAGGAAAAGAAGAAGAAGAAGAAGAAGAAGAAGAAGAAGAAGAAGAAGAAGAAGAAGAAGAAGAAGAAGAAGAAGAAGAAGAAGAAGAAGAAGAAGAAGAA